ACTGAAGTGAGAAAACACTTCAAGCTGGAAGCTGAGCATAGTCACCAAGAAGTGTGAAAGATTTTCATTCTCTATTCACAGCAAAACAACACAGCCCTAACCTACAGCGCTGCAAGAACACTACTGTAATAAGAAAGCTCCCAATCCCAAACGGTGGCTTGTCACTTTTCTTAAGCAATAAGAAAGAAAATCATGACAGAGTGTGAAAGCAGCAGCCACAAATCAATACTCCAGCACTCCCCACATGTAAAATGAAGTCAGAAGCAATTTAGAGCAAGAAACAATAGCTTGTGCTGTCTCTGTCACTAGATTTTGGCTCTGAAAGAAACTCAGCTTACTAAAAGAGAACATGGTAGGCGCAAACCCGCGCAGCAGCAGTGGAGAACATCTTGGTTGCTTGCACAGGAGATAACAGAAGCGGACACACATTTCAGAAATTTTAACCAGCTCATGTGGCACTTGTAAATTCTTGGAGATTGGCTACTTTTGTAAGTTTGGATGAAATTCAGTATGATATTCAGTATGTTTGGATGAAATACTCATTCTATTAGGATTATTTTTGAGATAAAACAAGTTCCCCATAAAGAAGAAATAGCTCCTAAAAGTATAGGTTAATAATGTCCTATTCCTTTTATGTTTTTATTAGCAAAATATGATGTTTTGCACACATACTTCAAGTCTACATGAATATTTCACCCTCAATTTAGTCTCCGTTTAAAAATTCWATCATTAGTTGAAAAGGTGAAAAGCACACTCCTTCCATGCACTTCTTATCATTGCAGGAGAACTGACAGAACAATTGCTGGCAGTTTTCTTTATACTTCAATATGATCTCTTTATAAGAGAAGGGGGGGCAGGGAAGGAGAAGAGGAGCAGCAAGTGAGGAGAGGTAGCACATAGCTAAGTGCAAGGATAGACTTATCAATAACTGACTTTACATCCAGGGAAGATCCAACCAGTGCACTACCAAAACATTATGTGCAATCCACATCAAATAGATACACACATATATAATGTTTACCTACTCTGAATAACTTCATTTCTTCAGATCAACCCCCACACTGGGGATGTAAAGACATGCATATGCAGATACCTTTACCACTAAGCTTCAAGKCATGTTGTTGAAAATAGTCTGTTGTTTTTGGGCTCAAGCCATACCACCAAAGCTCAAAACCTTAACGCTAAGGTTACAACTGCACCTTTCAAAGTATTAAACGTGCCAATGTCCACCAGCTTCCTTCACACAATTTAGGTKCTATCCATCACTTCTTGGAACAGAATCTCACCTGCTGAACAGGAGTGGAAGAGAGGGACATCTTTATGTATGAAACGAAGCTCGGTCACAGCCCTAGCAGCCAGCAAGACAGAACTGCATCTATTGCTACAAACAGGGCAAGAGGAACCAGCTCCTACCCCGCTGCTGACTCCGCACAGCAAACTCTTTGCAGGGCCTTTCCGTGCCATGAGCTCACTCCACAGGCAGTGGGCCCCACTGCAAGCACTAGCCCACCCCAGTTCTCGGCTGCTCAGCCCTCAGCCCAGCCTAGCGCGACAACTTAAATTCAGGCAGAATTTGGGATGTACGTTTTCACTCAAACACAAACGCTGAATAAGTTGGCTATAACATGCAGTCAGACACATATGTGGCAAAACCCAAAGAGCTGCTCTGATGCACACTAGCCTTTTCTTGAAGGCCAAACCAGGAATTCTACTGCATGGAATTTACATCTGGATTCAAGTTTCTCTGAGCAACTGATAGGTCTTAAGCTGAAGTTAGACTTGGCATACTCACTTAAACACACATGCCTGACACATACTGGCTATACTTATAATACATAAGCCAACCAAGTATTAGCCCTGACTTTTTATTATTAATCTCTTTTCATTAATATTTAATGAAATATTTACTTTTTATAATATTTAATATTTATTATTTAAATATTTAATATTTTTTAAATCATCATCTAGTTGAGACTGAGATTACTTTGAAGATAAACTTGGCCCCTGTGAGCATTCAGCAAAAGCAGTAGGGGTAAGGAAGCCAAGAGCTGCTAAGAGAACTCAAACCGCAGGCAGGAACTCTGGATAGTATCACATTGGGGGAAAAAATACACTCCTGTGATTTAGTCTGGGATTAGACAGTGGGTAACACACTGGTTCCTTGACTGCATTTCTACATTACCCCTCCCAGTCACAATAGGAAGTTATTTGCACCAACTTAAATTTGCTCCTTATGAACATATATACATGCATATATGTTTGTGTATATATATATATCTCTCTTTAAATATTGATCAAGCTATTCATGTGCCAAAGGGAGAAAATCTGGAGCCTAGGTGCTTATCCTTAAATGGAAGCTAACAAGGGTTACTTACCAAACTTTTAAGACTTCCTAAGGACTTTAGTGGGATTTGTGTGTATTACACCAAATAATGCAGCCTGTAGAGCACAGAACAACAAATTCTTAACAGAACAGACAGTACTAAAGCATCAAGCTAAGGAGGAGAAAAGAAACAAGCCACATCAAACAGTAAGTTAGGAGATAAGAGACCAGTTCAGAGCTTTAGTGGCCCACACACACACAGAGCCAGAAGAGCTCTTAAGCAACCTAAGGACATAGAGATAACAGAGGTTATTTGTGTAAATTCACAATTTCTAAGTGTTGAGAGTATTCCATATCCAAGGTAAACACACTGCTCAGGATGGCCAAGCCGCTCACAGCAAGYCTCGGAGCGCCAGCCCCTTCACTCCGAGGCCCAGCCGCCTTTCCATGGCCCTTGCCAGGCTTCCTGCAGAGCAGCACGCTGGCTGGATGCCAACACCAGCATCCGGCCTTGCACCAGCCGCCTCCCGCCCGTTAGAAACATCACCACTGCAGTCTGCGCCCAGGGAGCCCATGGGGGTGGGCAGAGTGGTCTTTTTATATTTTTACAGCTATGTGTCACTGTATAATGACAAGTGATGCTCTATTAGCAAAGTACCAAGCAGTTTTTCTTATTCAGACCTAGGATACAAAATGAAATTAAGATAATCAGGAAGTAGCAAACCAGATGTGAGATTACTGAATCTTTAGAAATATAAAGCTGTTGAAACTTTTTTTTTCCATTTTTAAGTGAATCATGTTATTCAAATACCACACTGTAAATAAATACTAATAAAAGGTTAGCAAATTGTTGCCTTTCCTATGGAACAAAATTGTTAGACGTATTAGGAAATGAACACAGCATTAGGACGAGAAGAAAAGTTGCTTTATGAATTTCTCTCAAATCCCCTGCCATAAGGGACTTGATACAATATCACAAATTTTGCATACCACAGAGACTTTACATGTTTTAGACAACCATGGTGAAAACAAAATAAGTTACAGAAAAACTGGAGGACAAGAAAGAATTGTTTTTTTTTTTTTTAATCATGAAGCCACAACCTAAAACCTGTTAAATAACAAGGTCTTAATTAAAATCACTTTTGCATTTCTGCTGCTGCTGCAGTTACCCTAGCTCCAGAGTCGCACCAGCATCTCTGCTGAGAAGTGTGCATAAATACAACCAGACACAACTTGTTTGGTACTCAGTCATAATCACCAAAAGGGAAAAAGTTAAAAATGAACATGAACTTAAAAAATGAAATTTTAAAAAAAAAAAAAAAAAAAAGGAAGGAAGGTCTTCCCTCCCCCCCTCCATCTGACTTAAGAGCTGGCCACCTCCATGCCCATCAAGACCAGCTGGCAATGATCTCTAGCAGGCAGAAGTATTGACAATTCTTTCCAGCACGTTCTTAGATGCTGACACAGAGTTGCTCAAGTGACCCTCTGATATTCTGCAATGAACCTTTGCCCTTAAATGGAGACACCTGAAAACTATTAATGGGGTCTTCAAGCTGCTGTAATAGCCAGGCCATTTCACAGTGAGTGGAAAGGAATTACTACCCTTTCAAGTATCTTCTTTTCTCCAAACAGCAGTAAAAGCTGAACACAAAATAGTAAGCAAGCCAGCACTATATAAAAACAAAACCAAGAAAAACAGCTTCATATGCATGGCTCCCTCCACACCATCCCCACCTGGTTACGATACAGAGGGTAAACGAATATGTGAGCATCCCAGCACATACTTTTCCCTGCTGCAGCCACAAATAGAGGCTTGACTTACTCTAACTTAATATAGAGCTCTGCTATAACACAGAGCTCGCAACTGAAATGCTCTCCCTCCAATGYAGGTTACAAGCCCCAGCTGATCAAGCTGCTGTCTCCTGCACTGTAAACAGAGCTCAAAGTGTAGTGGTACTGGGAGGTACTGGGCCCTGTTCAGAGGCGCAAGGAACCTGTATTTCAGAAAACCCACCTGTGCCCAGCAACCCCAGACTGGGCTCTGCTCCCCACAGCTGCACAGGGGCCAGGAAGGGCCCGGCCCAGATCTGCATACTGTGGGGTTCATAGCTCTGTTTTCCCCTTTCAGACCAAGGGAGGGGAGAGCAAGGCATGTGGGACACGCAGAGCTGCCAGACACCACATGGCCACAAACACCTAGCAAATGCATCAAGCTGCTGCAGGAGACACCTGCTGCTAACCAAAATTGCTTTGCTGAGACTCACCCTGATGAGGTATTAACAATAACACCATTAGCAGCCTATTCAGAGCCTGCTTCCAGGAAAGCAAGAGATTTCTCACTCAGTAGGAAACCCCACTGATAATGAGAGTCAGCACAAGAACTCCAGCAAGTTAAAGGCACAAAGGACACAGCAGACCTCAGCTGCCCGCAGCCAGCTCACATCAGCAGCCCAAACAGCACCACGCAGGGCACGTTCCTYATGGCTCTCTTGAGGCTCCTGCACAAATCAAACCTGGTTTCCAGCCCTGACTCCTCCAGAAGCCCAGATGGCTTCCAGGCACAGCTCAAGGCTTCCCCTCCGGAGCCAGGATGAAAGCACAGCAGGGCCACTCAAGGCATAATAGGAAAGTGCTACTTCTAAAAACCAAAAAAGAGATTAATACACAGTTGCCTTACCTGGGCTTCACACCTCAAGAGAMTGCCTTGAAGAAATGAGAGCTGCCTCAGTTTCCTTCTTTCTCCTCTGAATTTTCACATTTCTGCAAAGCTCCTCACTCAAAAGCAGGCTCTGCCCGTTTGAGCAGAACCAGGTGAGAGTTTGCCTGCTGTTCACTACTCTTCCTAATCCGTTCCAAACGCTTCCACCCCCACCAAAGAAACCCTATGTTTAACCTCAGCACCTGTTATATCAACACAAATCACCTGGGCACCTGATGCATCAACACAAATCACCTGGGTGATCAGCACGATACAGGGCACCTGCCCCAAACAAGGGAACAGCTCCTGGGCTGCTTTCCCCTGCCATTTCACATTACCTTGCACAAAGCCAGAGGGCAAGGATCTTGGGATGCTCACTAATAAAACTTGGAATTAATGCTGGACTGGTTCATCTTTTAAACACAGCTGAATCATAATCCCTGAAGGTTATGGTTCTCTGTACTTGAAAGGCTGTTCCTGGTGGGATTAATTCTCATAATAGCATATCCAATCACCACCATTAAACAAATAAAAGCCTCCTAATCAAGCAGATAAATGCATGCAAATAAGACRGCTCCTAAACTCTGAAAGGACTCTGTACCACATCTAGAGAAGACTGTGTTATTCCTTAGCCTAAAACTTAAGCAAAGCTTTCAGAAACAAAAACATCTCTCTGCTCACTCAGAGCACTAATAATGGAAATCCAGCTGCTCCTGAATTTCAGTAGTTTTCTCCTGCCAGTCTTCTCTAGTCATGTGAGAGCACCTAATCCACCCCACTGAGTCCGATTACAGGCTTGACGTGGCTAACGATGGGCTGCTGTCACCCTCCTGCGCTTCAAAGGCAATAAAATAAATCATATTCCTCGGCTGAGGCCTTTGCAAGGTGGTCCTGTATTCCTCAAAACCATGGTAAATAAAACAGGCCCTGGAGATTACAGACAGAGGGAGGCTTGTGCACCGGCACTGCTTTACCCCGCAAACGGCTCACCAACAGCTGTACGACTTCCATCCACTCTTACTCCTCCTACACCATAGTTCTCGGCTGTATGCATTTGAGTTAAAAGGGAAAAAAGAAAAGAGGAAAAAGGAAAAGAAGCCTGTATCTTATCTCAGTATTTTCATTAGATCAGTCAATACACAACAAATCTGTAGAGCATACGCTTAGAATACATTGACAAGGTCAGTGATATAGCTAACAGTTCATGAAAGAGTGACCTCTGCTTCCTCGCAGGACTTCATTTTGAAGGGACAAAACTCTGGATCCCCATGTTGGGGATCCAGTCACAGAGTTCTTGGGCAGAGCTTACAGACTTAGCAGGTTCATCCATTCATTTTCTTGAAGAGCTGCAAAGACATTGGATGCATCCACATGCTGTTCCTTTACTGAGGAAAAAGTAATTTTTCACTTCTAGCAAGAAAATGATACTCTAAGTACTGTACATCCTCTCACTTTGATGGAGCAATCCTTTTGTGCCGAGACTGCCTCCCTGGAAGGGTAGGAAGAGTGGTAGGAAGAGTAGCTACCACTAGCTACTTAGCTACTAGCTAACATGCCTGGTTTGGAGGCAAGAGAGGACCAAGCAACTTATTTTTCCTGCTCCTCACATCCCACTGCCTCCACCAACTCAAATGATGCTGAGGTGAACGGATAAYGGAACAGAAAGCAACAACTGATCAACTTGCTGATTTTTTTTCAAATGAACCCTTACATCTAAGTATTACTGACAGAAAACATAACATCACTTTAAGGAATCYATTAGATTATTAAAAGAGTCTGTTTAAAGAAAAAGTTGGATTGCCACTTTGAGGAAATTTCTTAATTACGTTCATATTCTTAATAGCATCCTTCATGCTCAGGTGAGCTGCAGCTTCATTTATATTTGAAAAAATAACTCAAAACCAAATTGCAAGTTCAGTATTTTTCATTGCTGAAGCAAAATCTGTGGGGCACAGCTAACTGTACTATTATGTACTCTCCAGCAAGAGTGCCAAAAATGCATACACACATTGCAGCAGTCTAGGCGCTTCCGTGGTAGCATCCCTGTGAGAGATAGCTAGGGTTTCTGGCTACCCACTCAAAAAAAAAGCTCAAAAAAAATGAAAAATAAAAGAAAAACAAATGCTTTCACAACTGGCATGGTACTCTTTGACACAGAGATGAACACATGCATGACAGCTTGCATTAAAAGCCTCAGCAGATAAGATTTATTCGTTATTAGCTGTGTTAATTGTAGCATCCTGGTCAAAATGCAGTCTGACTATGAGCTATATATGTARAATTCCATAGGCAGTTTCAGACGAATGTTATTCTCAACTTCTGCCCTTGATGCTGTTAGTTCTGTTATATGGCTGCTGCATTTCACCTCAACATAGTAAAAATAAATAACTAAAAATAAATCCAACAACAGATTTCAAGCCTACATCTAGCTCACGTGCAGTGGAACCATTTTGAAGCGAAGAAGAAGGAAAACAATGTCTAGGTGAAAACATCTCCTCTCTTCAGGGCTTATCCTAACAAGGAGCTGTAGGTACCATGGCTGGTCGCAAACTATCACGAGCTTTCCTCAGCAAGACACTCATCCACATCCCGCTTTACGCCGCAGAGCGGGGCTGGAAGCCAATCTGGGCACCACAGGAGCARTTTACCCAAAGCACCTTACGCTCGGGCTAATCTGGGCAGCACAGAGGCTGGAAGGCAGCAGCTCGGAATGGACATAAATTAGAGCAATCCCAACTGAGCCTGAGGAGAGCAACGTAACCGTTTGTGCCTTGGTGCATTCCCAAGTGCCGCCGCTGGATTTCATGTGTTGGAAGCAGCTCAGCACTGGGACATCTATTTAGCTAACAGAAGAAGAGCCCTGAAGAGAACGCGTGTCTCAGGTTTCTGAATAACCTCGCTCTGTCTGCAGCGCGGCTGGCCCGACTTGCCACAAAATACAGCTGTGCCAACAGCTGCCACCCGTCAAACAGAGGCTGGGGGAAATTATTATAGGACATTACAGCACTATTTACTGCTGTTTATCAGCTCCAAAGCAAAGCACTTGCAATATAAAAATACTAAAAGAGAACTTAATGCCAATACTCACTTTGCAGTGGCCATGTTTTACTGCAACAGCTCCTCGCCCTATCTGGCAGGGCTGAGGATGTCTCCTGCGGGTCTGCCAGTGTCTGCCAGGGCTATGCCCTTCAGTTTGCTGTTTTTCTTACACAGCAGACATCACTCAAGATGATTTTAGTGAATGCTTTGTTCATTTATTTTGTTTGCATTCATAAGTCTTCAGGTTAAGTGAAAGGCTAAGTACAGATTCAAGCATGCAGTCTGTATCTATTTAAATATATGTCAAAATTCTGAAATGTTACCATATCAAAATGCTTCCATCAAATCCCTTATTCATACAAAATAAAATAAAAGGAGTCCTAGCTTGGGGCCAAATTGTACAGTCATTAACTGAGCATCGCTCCCACTGACAGCTGCATTCTCTCCCATTTAATTTCATTTCCATGGACGCCGATAAAGCAATTACTAGATTTGACTGCTAATTTGCATATTAAAACTAAAAGAAGCAACCACACTAAAAAGTGGTTGGAAAATACGACAGTTAGCTTTGGTCCCTAGCCCCCTGGCCTGGAAAGGGACAGTCTGCCCCTTTTWGTGTGATTCGGGTGCTGGCTCTGCCCTGTCCTTGGCCGGAGCCGAGCGCCAGCTCCTCCACAGGCTGCTCACGTGAGCACGCGGATAATAGTTTACTACAGATGCACATATATTTTTACACGTGTATTTAAGGTACGCATACTGTGACATGKACTGGGGAGCATGTCATCCCATACCGTAAACGCACCACTGTCTTGTAGCAGATGTTAATACAAATCTGCTATCACTCTTCCAGTTGGCATGATGGAAGTCACTACTACCCGGAAAGGCTTTGCACGTTTGTCTTTCACTGCTAAGTGACAAAGGAAAATAAATTATCGCCATTAAGAACTTGCTATCACCTGGTCCTCATGGCACTGGATGAATGGATCCAGACTAGGGTGAGCAATCAACCTTCATCTAAGAAGCTACTGACTTCAGCAGAGAATCCTAAGTTTGTGACTTGCCTTAGATTGGCTATTCTATAAACTTATGCAAGAAGAAAAAGTAAAAGCACGATTATTTATTGACTTTTATTTCAAGCCCTACTACAACCTATATTTCCAAGTTTTCTGCCAGCCTACAATGATCAAAATGAGCAGGTAAAGTTGTCCTCAACTAATAAATGCACTGCTACACTAATGCCTTGTAATCAACCATTCTGCCCCAGCAGGAGGAGGAATCAGTGGTACTTTACAGGTTACGGTTACTTAGCTAAGAACACATCCCCTTATGGCTGTTGAAAATCACAATCACTTCCCATTCTCTTCAAGTGGAAACAAATGATTGTCTTCTTTAAAATTAGCTCTTTGATCATGATATGGCTTCCACAAGGTTTTTGATAATCACACAGCAATTTATTTATGAGCTACGCAAATAAACTGCGTTTTCTTGATGGACTACTTGAATTTAAAAATACCTTCGTTTGCATCTATTTATTGGAATGCTAGCCAACACAAGTATGGGAAGAGCAGGTAAAAACAAAAATCTACTTTTGACACACAGTGGAAGGACATTTCTAGTTGGTTCTGTTCCTTTTTCTTTTCTTTTTTTTTTCAAGATAGCAGYTATCTGTCATGCCCTGAAGAAAAATGCAGCTTTATAAAGAAAAACAGAGACTAGGAGAAAAACAGAAATGTCATCTTCTCCCTTGCTCTCCCAGCATTTCTGTCATTTCTCATTTTTCTGGTCTCACGAGTTTCCCAACAATCTGCCCAAAGGTTTGTGCAATAAACTTATTTGCAGCTGCTCTGCTATTACCACCAAAACCAGGAGATAATGAGACAGTTTATCTAAACTTGGTTACTTTTCATTTGATTTCATTAGAGCACACACAACCATACTTTATACTTGCAGCTTCTTTTTCTCATGACTCAATTAATAGAGCTTGTCAGAAAAACAGCCCCAAAAAAACAAAGAAGAAAAAAAAATGACAATAACAACATGAACAAAGAGACTCTCACTTCACCTCCAGCTTTGCARGCTATCAATGCACATCCTGCTCATGCTTAGCAAATGATGCTCCCCCTCATCC